TACAACTTTGGAAAGCAACATAGCTATTTCTTGAAAAGTTAGACCTATAACTACCCTATGATCCAGTCATTCCAAGCGTAGGTGTTTACTCAAGAGAAATGAAAGCAGGTGTCGGTACAAAGACTTATACATACATCATCATAACAGCTTTATTTGTAATAGCTCAAACTGGGAGCAATGCAAATGCCCATCAAGAGCTGAATGAAAAACAAACTGCGATCCATACATACATGGAGTACTATTCAGCAACAAAAATGAATGAATGAATGATTAAAAACACAACAACTTTGATCACTGTGATAATGCTGAGTAAAGAGTTCAAATTTTAAAGTAGAGTACATACTGTATGATTCCATTTATATAAAATTCTAGAAAATGCAAGCAATGACAGAAAGCAGATCAGTGGCAAGTGAAGAGGAGAGATTATAAAGGAGCAAGAAAAGCTTTTGGACGTGGTGGATATGTTTGTTATTTGTATTGTAATGATGGTATCACAGTGTATAAATGTATGTTAAAATTTATCAAATTATACAGTTCAAATACAGGGTACATCAACAAAACTATAAATAAACCATCCTGGAAGGAGGCTGGAAGTACAAAATGATGAAGACGGCATTCTCCAGAGGTTAGCAACAGCAGAAGTCCCATCTACCCATACGGCTGGAGGAACACAAGGAAGAATGGCATTCACAGAGCCCATGTTCCTTGGCCACTAGGACTAATGGGGTCCCTGCTAGGACTGCTGTTTCAATGACCATCCCTGGTGGAGGCATCACCCAAAGAAGAAAAAAGTAAATGTCTCTCCTTTCCATCTTTTGAATTCCTCTTCCATTGACAAAATCCAACTGGGAAGAAAGTTTGTTTTGCAGGTTTCCTGCTCTCCATGATCAAAGGAGACTAAGGAAATGTATTTATGGAACTGAAAACTGGTAGACAAGTGACTGGCACAACTCTTGACAAAGGGAAGTATAAAATAGGTAAAAGCATGGTTCTGACTCTCCTGAATTGTGTCTTTCAGCACATCCTGGCTCTCCTGAGGTTATATGGCTCTCCCATCACCTGCCACTACTAAATAGCAAAAAAAAAAATTGCATTCAAGTGAGTGGGGACAGTGTTAGCAGATGGGGGAGGTTGGCCTTTTCTGCCACCAAACAGCTTTTTGAGCATTTAACAGACAGCGTCTGAAATAAACCTATCACTACTTTCTATGAAACCTTGCTACATAGACAGATGCCCTCAAACATTAATTCTTGTACTTGCATCATAATTTACTTTAGGCTCAAAGGGTTCTTGAAGGGCATTGGGTACCACAAGAACTCAGGGAGTTATACTTTGAACATAGAAACTTATAATAGATTTTGAAATTCCATTTTTTATATCTTTAAGATTAAAGTTCAGTTCCTTGAAAGCCTGCTGAGGTTTATCATAGTAACCATTTATAAAGCGGAAGCTAATTTAATGTGGGAAAGAGAAGGAATTTTTAGCATAATTCTCTGGTGTTTGCTTCTGTTTCAAATGGTGTGGGAAGCCAACATGGTGAGTTCATTTATTTTTAAAAATTATATCTAATTAAATTGGCTTGGCATTGACAAACCCACTGGTCACCTTTTTAAAATGCCCCCAAAATTAAGCACTTTGGAAAAATAAATGTAATTTAAAAGAGAAGAGTTAATCTTTCATATATAAGTATGTAAGTTCAGGTCTTTACATATATTAATCCATTTACTATAATAATGTTTGGAATGTATTAAATTTTTTAATTTAGTTTTACTTATGCAAGTAAATTCATAAATAGTTAATTAAAAGTTCAAAGTACAGTTAATGTAAAAAGTTATTATGACCCTCTCACGATCCATTTCTTTAGAATCACTACTTTTTGGGAGGTGTAGTGTCCCACCCTTTTTCTTTGCATTGACCTCCATAGGTACTTATAGAATTATATGTGCTATTTTGAATAAACTTGTACATAAGTAGAGGTTAGTAGGCTGTAAGATTGGCCTTACCACTTTTCAGTTCCTCTCATTCACAGATGGAGTTTATTTTCCCCAGCCCACGAATCTGGCTAGCTTTATGACTTGCTCTGACCAATGTGACACAGAAGTGATGTTGTGCCAGTTCTAAATGTAGGATGCAAGAGGCCTTGTACCTTCCATCCTCACTGCCTTAGAACTCTGAAACCAGAGTGAAAATAGGCCTGGGCTATTCACCTAAAGAATGAGAGAGCAAATGGGAAAGGATTCCAGACACCCTGGTGTATCTACCAGATGAATTCAAATGCCTAAGTGAGTCTACCTGATTAGCTGAGCTTAGCCCAAATCATAAAAACTGGCAAACTGAATCTGGGCCAAATTACTGACCTGCAAATGTTTGAGCTAAATAAATAATTGTTTTAAACAATGAAGTTTTGGAGGGGTTTGTTGTGAACAGAAGCAAACTGATTGTAGACCAAAATGGTGTATAATTTGATAACTTTTTTCTTTATTCATTATGTTAAGAAGAGTTTGACTTGTCAATACATATAGATCTTACTCTTTTTAATAGTTGCATATAATTTCATATTATGGATATTCCACAGTTTATTTAATATTCCCCCTATGGTGGACATTTAGGTCGTGCCTGCTTGGCTGCCTCTCTCCTTCCCTCTCGCTGTTCTTTCTTTTCTTCTCTTTCTCTCTATTTTGTATTATTAGTATCTCTAGAGTTGTTGCAAATATCCTATTCTGTATTTTGTCTGCTGATGTTGGTTAAGGTATATTTTTCATACACATATTTTCAAAATTTAATCCACTTTATCAATATTTTTCTTAATGGCTTCCTTATTTTGAGTTTCGCTCAAGAGCAATTTTCTGTTCAAATACATACTTTATATTTTCCTAATAGAGCAGTTTATGTAAGTGTGATTATGTTAGCTTTAATTCATTAATCCTCTGGCATTTATTTTTTTATCCTCATCCCAGGACATTTTTCCATTGTTTTCTCGAGAGAGAGGAAAGGAGAGAGGAGAGTGCCCCATCTAACCTTGATCACCTCTTTAAAGGCCCTCTCTCCCAACACAGTCAATGTTGGGGTTAGGGCTTCAGCTTATGGATTTGGAGGTGAGGGGACACAATTCCATCTATAATAAGGTTGTCAAATGCAATTTTTTTCTTGTTTGTTTCCTTTTTCCCATTTCTGAATTATCATTAAAAATAATATTTTAATTTTTTACCGTGAGTATATGGGAAATAATGTGGGCAAAACATGCAAAGGAAACAAAATAAATTTGGTACAAATCAGTTATCGCAGAGGTTTATTTGAAAAAGGTATGTTTGTGTGTAGATCACCTAGTTCGCTGATAGATACAGACTGTGTGTTCAAAAAGTACTTGTTGGTACTTGTAGTACTTGTACAGTTCTACTACTTAGTAGAACTGCTAAAAACCTTTGCTATTATGCATGTGCTGTGCATCTAAAATGTCCATAAGTAGTTGTGTTTAATACCATGAAAGTGGTTTATGTTCAAAAAGCTTTTATTCATTTTCTTCTTTCATTTAGTAAAGACTTGTTTGCAGGCAGTGGGTATATTTTTATACAAAATATATAATCTCTGCCTGGTGGTTAAAGACCTTCAGTTATTCTCCTTGAACAAAAATGATAACTCCTATAATAAGTAGAACTCTCTATTTCTGACTGTTCAAAGAAGTAGGCAAAATATTATGGCTAAAAAGAAATTCATAGTTCCCACTCTGTTATGAATTAGAAATTTTGGGCAAAAGAACATATTTCAAATCATGAACAATCTATATTCAGCAACTCCTACCCAGGATTAATCTTAAAAATTTTATTCATTTCAAATTATATAATATGACTTAGGTAGAGTATTAACATGCTTTAGGCATATTATAAACATTCAGCAGTTGTTAATTCTTAAAAGAACAAAATTTAAAAATATGCATGATGAAAAAAATCCAAAGATATTTATTTTATATATGCTATATATGTTTCCTCTTTTGCAAAAATATAATAGACTTCATTTTTTTTCTCCTTCTTTCTGGCCTATATCCAATCTCAAGGAGACTCTTTGTAGAAAAAAAATAACAACTATAATCCCATACTCTCAAAGACATGATTCCATCCTTGTGTCCAAATTCCTGATCTGCATCTTTGGTGCCTTGGTGATCTTGAACAAGTTCTTTCATCTTTCCCTGCTTCAATCTCCCCATTCATAGAATTAGGATAGTAAAACATTTTTTATGGGGTTTTTTTGGGTGAGAATTACATGAAATAACCTATGTGAAATGTCTAAAACAAATTAAAAACTTAGTAGATGAAGTATTATTATTAAACATTATCATGTTTCCTTGGATACTGATTTAACTGAACATATTTATTTTTTTGTATAAATAAATCTGAAGAAACCTTAAAGAGTCTGATTTTTCAACCATACATTTAAAAAAAGAACCCTAATTGAACTTTTGAGTTTTGTAATGTTATATATCCCAGGGTCTAAAATTTGTTGTTCTCAGTTGTACCAAAGACTACAAAACATCCTTTGTTAATGGCAGAAAAGAAACAGCTTCCTTGGAAACAAGACTTTATCATGCAAGAGTTTATAGATTTATGTCCAGTTCTTTGATTAAAAAAAGAGAAAAAGCCTTTCTTGAGTCAGAAATGTTTCTCAAACCACTATAGAATAACAATTATGACTCTCCACTTTTTATTTTTATTGCTGAGTTGAAAAAGATGACTCTCCACAATGCTGACACCAGGAAGATATTATTCCACAAATAAGAGCCCAGCATGACATTTATGAGAAAGCCGGGGTCCTCCTGTGCAAAGCTGATTGGTGCTCAGCCAATGGACTCCGAGACATTGCAAATAAAAGCATTTTTCTTACTGGGCTTATCAGACAATCAGACACAGGGCAGAGGGTTGCCTCTACCTGTGGAACTTCAGGAAATTTTTGGCTCTTGTCCTAGCAGCATACATCTGTGGACAGCAAAGAGCAACCAGATTTTGAAGATGAAACACCTTCTTCCTCAATTCCCTTCCATCCTGGCCATCTATTGCTTCTGCCTGCTACAGAATCTCTCTTCAGGTAAGGGGACCCCTTCATCAGATCTCAGCTGGTCCGAGCTCTAAGGAAGACTGAGGCACTCCTTGATCCTTCTGGAGGGAGGCAAACTTTATTCCTTCACCTACTCCCCTTTCCACCCTTTCAATTTCTGGCTTCTCGTTTGTCTCTGACCTTTAAGAGAGTGTGAACAGAGCCAGATGTCACAGCCTTTTACCAAAGGAGGCAACTTACCCCCACTAAATTGTCTTATACAGTTCCTACCACAGGGCTGCCCTAAGTATGTGCTGCCGAAACTGTGAGGAATAGGATTTAGGGAAGTCCCAACTTCTTGAGCCATTTGTGCTCCCATAATTCTGAGAAGAATTAGATATTATAGAATTTCGATTACAACCCCCAAGGCTGAAGATTTAGGGCATTTGGAGAGGGGCAGGGTAGCAGTGCACACAGGAAAAAGAAATCTTTTCATAGCCTTTTTGTGGGCTCCCAGGACGCAAGATACCTGAGAGCCCAGAGGAGACCCCACAGCTTCCAGGATGGGGCACTGTCCGAGGTGCTGATAGGACTCTGGCGTCCCTTCACCAACTTGTCAGAACCGGTGCATTTATTTGTAGGGAAACGGGGGTGAGGCATGGACGGGGTCAGTAGTCCTCATCCGTTGCCCATCTTCAGGTAAAAAACACCACATATGATGCCGGGGAGGATGTGGTGGCCAAACAGCTACAGTTGTAAACATGAACTACTTAAAATTTTGATTTAAGGGAGTACAAATCTTTGAAATGTATTTAAACAGAAAATATATTTCAAACAGTATGTTTAAAAAAAAACTATGTCCTTTAGTTTAACCATAAAATCTAAGTATTTCAAGGAACTGTGGAAGTCGTGGAGAACAGGGATTGCCTCTATGATTTTCCTATTTGATTACTCTCAGTAGCACCCAATAGACTCCAGCCTGAGGCTGCCTCCTCTGGGCTCCAACAGAATCTTGTTTAAATTACACTTTTGGAAGTTTTTTACCTTTTAGTTATCTGTCTATATATTTATGTCCACCTCCCTCATTTTTCTATTTGACTTTATATTCCCTGAGGGTAGGGTCCCTATGGTCTTTATTGTTGTACTGCTAACACATAACCTTTTAATAAGTCCTTATAAAACTGGTTTGAATTAAGTTGCATTTTTGAATGGTGCCAATCATCAAAAACTTCTTTATGCTAAGCTGAAATCTGATCACATGTAACTTCTAACAATTAACCCTAGTTATTTCCTTTGGGGATATACAAGATAAGACTAAAATCTCTATGACAGTTCTCAAAATATCTGAGGTAGTTAACATACACTTCCTAACTTCCTCTCTTTGCCAAAAAAAACCCCCAAAACTGTGTTCAGTTCCTTTTACACATCCTATTATTTCAAGTAGGACTGTTCCTTTTAAAGGTTTAGACACTATTATTTGAATATAGCCCAAGATTGCCTTAGTTTGTAGCTTTTCCATGGATAATAGAGATATCTCAAGGAACAAAATATCAATTTGGACTTTAAAAGTATATATATACTACCCTTGAGCCAGACAGTCCCTTTCTCACATTTAAAAATCTAAGTTCATGGTTTTACATTTATCCCATTTAATTTCATCTGGCTCTTTTTGACTTATTTAGTTGATTCTTTCAACTGCAGTATTAGCTATTCCTCCAAGTGCTGTATCACATGCAAATGGGATGAAGACTTCATTTTGGTCAGATAACAGTTGACCCACACAGGGCTCATCTGCATGCTGGTGGCAGCCTTCCCACAACTCTCCCCCCAAAGAGTCTGATGGAGCAGAGACAGGCATTCATATTCCTCAAACGTTCCGAGAGTGATGCTGGTGCACATATTTGTTGACACCATTTCCTGATATTCCATCCTCATAAATTCCATCAAAATACAAATTAGGTTGTTTTGTGGGCATTTTTGCCCTTTTTTTCCTGACTTGCTAACTCTTGTACTGTTAACTCCCAGTAAATTTTTAAAAAACATGCTATTTTTAATTAATTTTGGTGCAAATTTCAGATTTGCCAGTGGTAGGCAGAGTGTGTTTTCTTTGTTAACCCTTTTTACCAACATTGTATTTATAGAATCTCTATATGTTTTACATGATAAATATTTAAAAGTTAATGCTATGACATCTTTTCTCCTAATTGATCTTTTTATGATTTCTCACAATAGGATATCCTCAACCTTTAGATGATTCTCCAGATCGCTTGGATATTGTGCAGCTTGAGGTACACTGTTGTTCAGTAGTGTGAGGTTTTTGTTTAGTCTTGGCCTTGAAAATATCATGTGGATAATGTTAACTTAAAACTATTTTAAGTGTAGATTCTTGGCAGCAGCAGGACTCGCTGTTGTCATTGTCAGGGCCTCATTAACAACATCCTGAGTTGGATTGAAATTCATTGTTACTGTGTGAGAAGATAATACAAGGTTCATAAATGGGACGATTTTAGAATTATATGTGTTGTAATAGAATGCTATTGTACCAAGTACCAAGGAATTTATACTTAACTTTGATTGATTTTCCTCATTTATTTTAGCGACTGGCATATTGGGCAACTCTTTCTAGGCAACCTAAGGTAAAAAAAAAAGCCTAATATATCTATGATAATTCTTTAAGTTATAACAGTATATGTTTATGCCACAATTAGCATCTGTAATAAGTGCACCATCTTGCTATCTACAGGAGCATTTGTGTGTATGTGTGTTTGTGTAAGGATATAGTTTTAAGAAATAACAAGTGACTCTCTTAAATATTAATTACTGTAAGATATTAGTAGTTCATCTGCATTCTTACAGTTGTCATAATCACATATACATATCTAATTACATTAATTGACTGTGTTATGATATAGCATAACATACATTACAAGTTGATATATTATGATTTGGCAGTTCTCCAAAACAATAGATTTCATGTGAAGGACCTACCTAATAGTAACTATAGTAGCCACGATAGAAATGTTTCAGTGGATACAAAGTAAATGTTAATTCACTCTAAAGTTGGAGAGAGTGCTTTCAAGGTACGCTCCATGATCCTTAGCATAGATTACATGTTTTCACCTTGAGCTGCATCTCCTCTTCCTCCTTCACCTCCCCTGACTCACAGTATACGATACTCCAGCCATAATGAAGTTCTTACTATTCCCCACACGCACCAGGCCCTTATGTCTTTCCATAAGCTTTCCTGCAGCCAACACATGCCTTTGCCTCCTTTGCCAACTGTGGTCAACTGCCAAGACTCTAAAGCCAAAGTACCTGGGTTCAAAACCCACATCTAGTTAATCTCCGTAGGTTTCTTAATCACTCTGTGCCTCAGTTTTGCCATCTGTAATATGGCAATAATAGCCATAGTGAGGCTGAGGATAAATTGTTTTAATATTTGTGAAGTATTTTCAAGTGTCTACAATATCAAAGTTCTAGCTGTTATTGTTTCTTGATGCAACTAATTTCCATTTTTCAAGATTCAGACATCACTTTTTCACTTAAAATTCATAAATATATCATGTCCATTTATCCTTATTATCAGTTTACCATGATGCATATGTTTGAAGACAATTGTCATCTCTCATCTTTAAAACTAACCTTTACAACCTGGGTACCAGAGCAAAAATTCAGGATGAGAATTCAGAGTTCTCCACCTCCTTGCAACTACCTTCTCACCTCACACCAAAGAGGCTCCCTTATCCCTCACATGAAAGCTGTGTGGGTGTCCCATGCATAAGCAGAGGAAGCGGAAGTGGGGCTGTCACATATGCTGCCCTCAGTATTAAATTGGGTTGTGTGGTTCCCCAAGTGCAAGGGGCCACTTGGAAGGAATTTCCTTCCATCTTCTCCATTTTCCCATAGCTGATCCTGTTCATTGTTTCCAAGTGTGAAAGAGCAAGGCATTGCTTAATGAATAAAACTACCAATATTTTAAAGCTATTAATAGAGATACTATGGCTCTTCTGCCTTGAAGTGTAACCTTTGGCATGTCACTTCTCCTGGGGCTTTGGTTTCCTCTACAACCCAATGTCTGAATGATTTACCTGGGCCCTATGTCCACTTCCAGTTCTGGTCTCCAGAAGAGCCCAGGTCTGTGTCTCCAAGGAATTTTTATTACGAGGCCCCTCAGAAAACATTATGGTCTGCAAACTGAAAAATCTTTGTGTTTTGTGTTTCTGATCACTATGTGAAATCAGAAGAATTTTATATGGGAAAAGGTGCAACAGGTTCTTGTAAACACAGCCCTGCTATTCATTCTTCAAAAAAGACATTTATCAAAAGCATGCCATTTGCCAGCTGCTGGGGACATACAGTAGTGATCAAAACAGACAAAAGTGCCTGTTCTTATGGGATTTATATTCTAGTTAGGGAAATAACTCAACAAGATAAAAATGTATATTTTAAAAAAATATTTTTTCTCTTAAAATAAAAATATCAAAGCAAGGAAGGTGCATATAAAATGTTGAGAGTGGTGTTCAGCAACTGAAAAAAAAATCTTTATATTCCTTTTTTTTTTTTTTTGGTCTAAAAGGTAATGGTATAAAGTTGATAAACATGGTACAAAAAAAAAAAAAAACCCACACAATTGTTTGTCCAGTAAGTTTTCAGAACGCACATACAGAACAATATTTTCTGACAAAGATGATGACAAAGATACCAAAAGCTGTAAAAATAGTAAGTTTTAGAGGTGATAATCATAAGGAAATAGAGTGAACTTCCACAGAACCTCTACTGTTAGTAATGTTGGATAATTACATGGGGTGGGCAAAAGTTGGTTTATGTGAGTAAGTGAAACATAGAGTTATTCTTGTGTTTTCATTAATTATTATATTATTTTCCATACAAACAACTGTAAGTCTGCTTTTGCCCACCCCCTGTAGCATATGTCTGTGCCCATATGCGTATGTGTGCATGTATGTACACAGCAGAGAGAGAGAATGCATGGATATGGGCTGCTGCAGAAACTCTCCACAAACCTTACAGGAAGATGTAATCATATTCAGAGCAACAAAATGAGAAGTATTATTGAAAACTTTCATTTCTCTCTTAATTGGGGTTGGTGCTGATTTAATAATGTTTAAATGCAAATGAAATATGAATGATCAATATCCAGATCAGCATACTTAAAAGAGCATTCACAGTAATTATCTCCAGCAATTCTATAAAATACAGACATGGAATCCTTCCTATTGTTTTGTGAGATTCCTTCTTCACAGCATCCTTGAGTAGAATATGCTTCCTAGACAACTTTTTCCAGGCTGACATCTGTATAAACAAGGGCAAGGTGGTTCTCTAACAAGGACTTAGAAATGAACGGCTCTTTCTGCAAGAATGGTCCTTTCTGCAAGAATGGTGAAGATTCACGTTGGAAACTTTTGGGAAAAAAAAAGTTTGATCAATTGGAACCAATCATTGAAAAAGCTGAATTCTAGGGTATGCCCAGCAGCAAACTAAAAATTGCAATCATTATTTTATTGCAGCTATTATTCAGATGGTTATCTGGGATTAGATTAGGGTATCACTTCTATATATCATAGAGTATGTTTTCCTCCAGAGCTTGAAAAGGTAAAATGAGATTAAGTTTTAAAATAATAGTGTGTTGCTGGAAACTTTGTTTTCATAAGTTCCTACATCAAATTGATTTGGTCTTATTAAGTTTGGGTAATGAATTTTTTAGCTTGGCAATTTATTTCACAATATTAAGGTAAGTCCTATGTAAGTTTATGGTGTCACTTATACTGAAAATTTTGTCAGTTACCTGCTGCAATAAAATTCCATATAATTGACCCTCACAATTATCTTTCTAGGATAATCAAGGCATGTACAAAAGGGTGAGTACTGTCCAGCCCAATAGCAGGGACATGCAATTTCCACTTTACAGCAAGTAACACTTAATACTAAAATAATTTTTTTTCTTATTCAGTTTTTATTTCACTACTCCAGAACTCAGGAGCCAACACATGCAGTTAAAACTGGGGTCAGTATTTATTGTGTCATAATCATCTTTCTGTAAAAGTCCCTGCCCTCTGAATGTTTTTTTATCCCTTCCTAATTAGGAAGTGCAGATCGGTAGAAAAGCAAGGGCCCTTTGACACTTTCTCTGTGTAATAGTGTAGCTTCTTAGGTGCCTTTTGCCAGGGCTGCAGGGATGATGTGTCTCCCTTTCTGGAATGGAAGTGGGTGGAGGCTGACAGATCTAAAAAGGTAGAGAAGTAATAATACGAAAGGAAAAATAAATAGGAAAGAATTTTTTATTATGCACTTAGAGGTATAAGAAGACCCTGGCAAACACAGAGCTCTACTTATATTGTTCCATATTACCCTCTGTTTTTAAAAATTTGAAAAGTGCTTTGTGAAGTGTAAAGCACCATCCCCCCCAGTACTGATCCATAACCATAATGATAGGTGTGTTCTATTCTAATAATAAGCATCACCTCTAACTTTCTTAGTATAAACTTGAGTTACCTTCGGGTGCACGTTGTATAAGTAAATTTCTGCAGGGAATGACTTGAGAATTATCAGGAAGAGCACAGAATAAAATTAGTTCAGGTGCCCTGTCGCAGCAATGGAAATTTTACCATTAGAAAGTCACTTATTCATATAATGAAGGCTTCCAAGTCTTCAATAAGATCCTTAAAAAACAAACACTCAACTAAGTATTTTTTATTTTTACCCTAAGAGGCAGAGAGTCATCAGTAGTGCAGGTGTGGGCACTGCACAGGAAGGACAGTGGAAGGGGAAAGATAAACACAGACTGTGACACAAATTAAATTTCACCCTGAGCCAGACTACTCATAGAGGACTCACAAAGACTAGATAAGACACAGGTGCTTATGTCTGCATGCGAATGGGCAGTCATGGACCAGGGAAAGAAAATGCACCCAGTAGAGAGGTCAGGGGTGCTTTCCTCCCAGTTCTTCCCTTCGATTAGGAGAGCACACCCCGGGAGCCAGAAGGCGTCTAGGTGGAGATGCTTCTTCAGGACAATGCACTCCACACCAGAAACACAGAAAACTCAGTCAATGCAGATGAAAGTCTGATTTACACTAAGGGAATATTTTTAAGTGATGTGTTGGAATTGAAACCTGCTATCAAGGCAGGCGATTCTTTATTAAAAACATAAAATTTCAAGCTTAGGCTCGGAAATGATTTTACTCTGAAAATTAAACCCATTTGTAATGGAGTGAGTGGAAATGATGCGCATAACCCTGGGCTATGGCTGTGCGCTGCCTCTGACCCTCACAGCACCCCTTTCTTGCAGTTCCCTCCTGTGCACCCTTTAATGCGCCTGGCTGCCAAACTCGCCAATGGAAGGATGAAAAGATTTCTACAGCACGTATGAGCTTTCTTCTTCTGCCATATTTTTATGCCAGTAAAAGTACACTTAACCAGGGTAAATGTGTGTATAGCCTTGGAACTCACTTGCATTCTCTCCTTGAAACTAAGTCTGGGAGCTCTGGCCCTTTGACCTTGCACAAGTTACTTAGCCTACCCCCAGCCTCAGTCTCCTCCACCAGAACTCTGCATGGGTCAGTCCTCTCCTTTTCTGAGCTCCTCATCCACATTTTTTTTTTTTTTTTAGCTTTTGTGTTGTCTCCATTTTCCCTGTTCCTTCCTCTTCCTCTTGAGTAGTTGCCTGATCTTAGCCTCTGCTTCCCATTGCCCCACTTGCTCTTTTTTCCAAACCGCAGAGATTTGTCTAAGAAAAAAAAAAAATTTAAGTTTAGAAATTGCTGGTTTTAGTAATAGCTGATTCTCAAAATCTTAATCAAGGTTTTGTTGTAAGAAAAACAAAAAACTTCTTTTGAATACTGTGCGCCCAAGTAGGGTGATCAGCTCATCCCAATATGTCCACAACTTTCTTGGTTATGGCTCTGAAAATCCTAAGACCCTGAGGAAACTGCTCAGTTCCTGAGAAATATACTGGTCACCCCAAGCACATGGAGCAGTTTTTCCGATCTGCTCTTGGCTGCAGCTTCCCAGGTTACATCTGCCGCCATTGTTATGCCCAGTCTAGGCAAACACAAGCTAATAAAATGGCTTATTTTGAACATGTGCCTAAACCAGGGTTTAATTTCGAGTTGAGGCTGTTGGGAAGAGCAAGCAAATATAGCATTGTGCTGGACACAAAAGGAAACTCAATCAAGAAAACATGCTTGTTTTCCCCAACAGGAAATTGAAATTGGCTACACAGCTGTTCCCGTGAACTCCTTTTTTACACCTGGCTTCTGGCTGTCTTAGAGTGGAACTGGGGAGGGGCAGGATCACAGCAGAGGAACAGCAAGCCCCAAGGATGTGGTTCCTGTTAAATTAACCTGTGTCTCTTTCCCTCACAGGATTCGAGGGTTGTGGCACTTGACTTTACCAAGAAGGTATGTAAACCCTGCGGAGGACACAGTCCCCCAAGAAAGATTTGTGAGAGGACGGGGAAGTGCTTGGGGTTGGGCCACCTTGCAGCCTCCTTAGACCACTTCTGGAACTAACTGCTCTCACCATATGCCCTGAAAATCTTCTTTGAGAGTGAACATTTAATTTTGGGATTCCCTAGGCTTGACCTGGAGCCAAAAGGAATCATGGGACAGTCCTCTGGCTGTGAATATGTCTCTTCCAGTCTTGTAGAGGAGTCCCCTGGGGCCATCTGTTCCTAACTGTCACTTGGGGAGAAGTACTGCAGGTGGCACAGACCCCATATACCTGTGCTTCTCCAAGTTGACTATGCATCATAAATACCTGGGGACCTTGTTAAAATCTGGAGAGTCGGTAGGGGCCTGAAAATGTGCATTTCTAACAAGTTCTCAGGTGTTGATGTTTTTGGACTGGGGATCACACTTTGAAAACCGCTGCCATAGACATCTTTGAGAGACCTTGGGCACAACGTGGTTGCATAATGGTTTGTGTTTTTATGTTGCAGGATCACGGTGCTACCTGGGGACGGCCATTTTTTCTTTTCAGGGTATAACATGTTTCCCTTTCTCTGTTTTTAACCCCGATTCCCTGCTGCCACCCCAGTTGTGGAGTTCCTGCTGAATGAGCACAGCCAGGGCCCCACGGTGAACCGATAAACAACTGCGGGCACTCTCTAACACTTTACTTAGGGGGTGATTCTCCAAGTTTCCTCCTACAAAGTCAATGCTTGTAAAAGAAAGGGTCCATCCACCAGGACACAGGCTGAGAACACCAGGGCTCTGGGAGCACAGGGACGGAAAGTAGGAGTTCCAGTGATGGACATATATGAGGGCCAACCAAAGTCTGAATCTGTCGCTGAACATGAAGGTCTGGATACCTGGCTCCAAAAGACACTGTCAACAGGAATCTAGGCACCATCCTCTCTCCTCCTCCCCAGGGGACTTGGTTCTTCTTGCAAGGGTCATAGAGTCAGAGAGTTATCTTTTAGTTTTTGACACATCAATCACTAGCCATGCTTTACCCGCTAGATACTCAATGTTTGCATCAGAAAAATGTGCAAATCAGTCAGACTTGTGCCCCCAAACTGTATTCTGTGGGCCATTGGTGTTAAGGGCTGCTATGCAAAGATCAAATAGATTGAAAAACGCTGCACCCAACATTCTTGAAGGTTTACAACACACACCAGTGTGGCTGGCAGAAAACAACCTGTTTAACTTAATTCTATGTTGTTTCCCAAACATTTTTGTCCATGGAAATTCTTCCCACCCCCTTATGCCACCCTATGTACACCTTCTCTTAAAAAAAGAAAAAGAAAAAGATTTTATATATTTATTTTTGGAGAGGAGAAGGGAAGGAGAAAGAGAGGGAGAGAAACATCAATCTGTGGTTGCCCCTTGCGTGGCCCCTACTGGGACTTAGCCTGCAACACAGGCATGTGCCCCAGACTGGGATGTGAGCTGGAGACGCTTTGGCTTGCAGGCCAGCACCCAGTCCACTGAGCCACACCAGCGAGGGCATCATGTATACCTTCTTAATCTGCATGACCTATTAGTTGTTCTCTGGAAAGTACTTTATGAAACAATGGGTCTCCATGATGTCTTTAGGGTGAGAAGTCCTGTGATGAATAGTTTGAGGACTCCTGCCACATAAACAGAGGCTAAGGGTTAGAGTAGAGGAGTGAGGACAGTATCTGAGAAGCGAGGGTCCTGGAGCTCTGCCATACAGGACCTACAGACTAGGTTGAGGCTCAGGCTCACCCAAGGAGCCCTCAAGGAGGCTGCTATCATCTTGGTTAGGAGAACAAGGCGGTAGGGCCCATGAAGAAAGGATCTGAAACCAAGAAACAGGTTCCAGGCAGTTTTGTCTCAGTGTCTCTAAGTTGCTTCTTCTTTTTTTTCCAGCCAAGGAATGGAAGAAACACTGAGGTTAACACCCAGTAGGATAGCCCAAGGTAGCTCACTGCAGCTTTTTTCCTCCAAGCAAATGTTATGAGTGTGACTGAGGGGAACGAGAGGCAGCCAGAGGGGCAATAGTTCAAAGGAAGGGGAGCCATGTGGAACCCTTGAGGACCTTCGGCCCCACCTGCTTTCCTACTCTCAGCACTGCAGAGCCTCGACTCAGCCTGGCCTTGACAAACGCCACAGCCTTCACCTCATCCTGGCTCTTTGCAAGTCAGTTGTCTCCAGCAGTAGCTGTGAGGGGCTGAAATCTCCAATCGGCCCAACTTGTTCTCTGTGACTTCTCATCTGGCCCTTCTGATGAGGAAGAAACTATCCTGAGATGCTTGGGGGAGGCATGGAGGGGCAGCTCCCTCTAGTGGCAACATTTCAGAATACAGTCAGACAAGGCCATTCCCTCCATTCAGTGATGCTCTGAGACCAGAGTTTCAATCTAGGGAGATTTCTGGCCTTTGGGCGTGTGGAAGCGGACACTCCTGTACAAGGGCAGCTCTGGGCCTCCTCTGTTTCTCATGATGATGTGGTCCCAGGGACATGAGGCCACTGTCCTACGAAGGCATTGCAGCCTCCCACCTGGGGCCCAGCCCTGACCTTCTGGCAGTGGTCAGAGCCCCAGCAGGCCAAGGTTCCTGAGAAAGCTGCCCAGATGCTGGGAAAGAGAACTTCCAGGTGAAAAGGGGAATGTGTTCCCTGAGTCCACAGCATTAACACAGGCCTAATGGTCTGATTAGATACAGCAAAAAAAAAAAAAAAATTCTTATAACTACTGATTATGGGCATTCATGACATGTCAAATTGAGGTATAATTTTAACATGTTATATAATAACATGCCATGGGCCTCATCTCGATTCTGAGAATGACTTCATCTGAGTTGTATGTTTTCTTTTTCAGATTTCGGTGGCAAAGGGAAGCTGGATCAGTTGAGGCAATCCAGGAATTATCTTGAACAAATGTCAAATTTCTTTCTGTGAACAATATTTAAAGATAATTCTATTGTTCTATAGTCACTAAAATATTCAGTTGTATAAAGAATAAAGTAGCATTGACACATTTTCATTTCTTATTGAGGTCTTGGGGGAGGGATCAGTATATTTTTAAAATAATGGGATATGCATCTTTTAGAAGTACTGTTTTGGGGTATTGTTTTAGCATGCCCAAATATCTTGTTCTTATTGAGAATTTAGTGCACAAGCTTGGGTCAGATGGGCTGCCTTCAAACCCTGGCTCCTCTTCTTTGTAGTGGGGGGACCTTGGACTGGTCACTTCCCAACCTGGTGCCTCAGGCTCCTCCACAGTAAAATGGGATTGGTAATAATAAGACCTTCACATAGTTTTGTGATGATTGAAGAGATGGTCCGTGTAAAGGGCTTAACATGGAGGTCCGTAGTGAGCACTCAATTGTGTTGACTCTAATTATACTTCAAAGATGATTTTCATCACACAAATGATACCAAAGGGACTTGCTCTAATGAGATCTACTTCTAATTGCTGACCAGGGGCTTGAGGTCACAGCAGTAAGTTAATTCATAACAACTCCGGACTCCTCAAGGAAACACAGGGCTCAGGCCTTTACCTTTTCGGGCTCCTCCTCCGTAAATAGTACTTGACTTCCAGACCCTCGAACATCATCTGAAGGAATAGATAGTGGTGCAGAAGATGGGCACACAGTGCAACGAGGGACCCTAATGATACGTACAATGGAACTAAACTGCATGTAACAAGTCTTTTTAAAGCACTAAAGTGGGAGTGGGTACTTTTATTAATCTTTACCATCCAGTAAAGTAGTGTATTATAGTAATGCTAGTTACTACAACAGGTGAATCTCAGAATCTTGGTAGCTTAGCTAGTAGAATTTTTTTCAAAATGAAGTGAAAACATTAATAAACTTTCTGTTTAATAATAAATGATATAATAAAATTTGTTTTATTATATCATTTAGGTAATTGATAACTATTTTTACTGGTATTATAGAAAGTGTATTTGCCAAATACAATAGTAAAATAAACATTTTTCTAACCTTTTTCCTCCCCAAAAGAGCTTTGGTGAATAGATGGAAATGTAATACATCTTGTTTGTTTAAAAGCTTTACTGCGTGTGTATAGCTCTACCGATATTTATTCAGCTGGGTCTTAAAACAGCTAATACTTTATACTGTTCAGCAATGAAATATTTATAGGAAAACTGATGTTTTGAACACTTGCTGGTTATATCCTAAGACTCGGCCCAGGCACTTCCTCAAGTATAAAGGAATTCGGTGCCCTTCTGTGAGCACTTCACCACTCCTTTTTGTGTCATTATTTCTTATTAAGGCACCTACATATTGGTAATACTTTTTTATTTAGCTTTTTCTCTATTTATCTAAAAATATAACTTCATCAAGGAGAGAGCAGGCATAGAAAGTTATGCATTGTCATATTGACTAAGGAGAAAAGCTTTATAGACAGCAAAATTTTAACATATGCCACAGAATCAGTAGGAAGCAACCATAACCTGAGACAAGAGATTATGTTGATTTCACATGCTATCACATCAGCAGATTAAAGTACATACTAACACATTTTGGTAAATACCTGTAAAGAAATGATACTTCCATGAACAACCACTTATAACTCCGATAAGATATGGCGTACTATGCCTCTTCATTATCCCATTCCTACAAAGACGCCTTGCATTATCAAAATAATGTTAACCCTGATCTCATCCTACATAAAGACTGGACAGTTATCTTTCTAGGAAAAGAAGATTGCTACAAGGTTGGAAGGCTCATTTTATAGATTAATTTAAATGGTTGACCGATATCAGATATGTAATGACAGCTAATTTGGGCTTCAGTTTTAGAGTTATTTTAACTTCTGCCTTAAATTTTACCTATAGCCCTATAAGTTATCCTGTAATCCTGATTTAATTAAAGTAATTCTGTTAATTGAATATATTTATTCTCATAGGAACTGAATAATGTTTTACCCTTATTCTTCATTACATATATCTCAAAAGTTTAACTGACTGAAAGCTTCACAACCTTTTTACAAATGTGATTGATGTAGAAGCTCTCAAAATGTAATTTAAGTTTTAGAGGTTACGTTTAGATTATTCAAACTTAATCTGGTAACCTAATTGACAATATCTATACATTGTAAGCTCCTAAAAACCAAAACAAAACATGCTTGATAAAATGTTTAAAGCTTACATTATTATGCTATGTAAATGTGAATGCTTATATATATGGAATTTCATTGTTATGATGTTCGTATTTATGGAGGTGATCAATGCCACTACAAAAGCCTAAGGTTCATGACCACTATAGAGGCCACATTTCTTTTTTTTTTTCTTTTCTTTTTTTAAATTCAAAGTCCTGAATTTAATGTGATATGGAGGGAGCTCCATCTCTCCCTTTCTATCACCCACCCATCCCACCTGTTTTGAGTTTGGCGAGGCTTGCCCCCCAGTCTCCGTCCTCCAGCTCTGGGGGCTTCCCTGTGCTCACTCATCCTCCTGAGCCTGTCTCTGTGAGTCTCCTTCTCGCCTATGTATTCATACAGCACCTGCTTGTGCTCCTATGGCTATCCTGTCTGACCCAGCAGGACTTGGCAAATGTTAGGGCTGTGGGCTGAGGGTTCACCAGGGTCAGAGCAGGGTAACTGGGTGATCGTAATGTCAGAGGGCTTATGAAGTCATCATTAAACACTCATTGCATGCCTGCCCACTTTGCAAGAGAGGCACTGTGCTGGGGTCCTGGGGGCGGAGGCTATGGGTGGGACTTCGCCCCCTCCGTGATGTGCTTGGGTTTGAAAGCTACAGCTCCCTCAAGTAGATTGGTGATGGTCAAGTCTACGCAGCCAGTCCTGGCTAACTGTGGGTACAGTCTGGAGTGTCTTTGTCACTTCTGTTCTCTGCTTTGACTGCTGGAGTGAGTCATGTCCCTGTCTGGTCCAATTCTTTGGCCACCAGCTGGTGATGAACAGGATGGAGCCCCTGGATGCACCATGAAAGGGACAAATAGTGACCACAGCAGTTCTGTGGCTCAGGAGGCATGTGACAATGTCAAAGAGATGAGAGGGCCTCTGGATTCATAGTGCAGAAAGCTGTACCACATCCTGGATAGAAAATGGCCAGGAAGATGGTATGACTGGTGAGCAGGTTGGTTATGTTGTGGTCAGAAGGTGTCACGTGGTTGGAAATGAAGACCTTGACAAGGTGATCCCAGAGTCCCCAGTCCTCCTGTGGCCCAGAGCCACAGCACTGCACACGCCATCTGTACCACGAGCCTGCTAAGTACGCTGTCCGGCAGTGCGCAGACGACTCAGAAGATGTGGATCCCAAGAATGAGGCATGGAACAAGGAAGCAGAACCTGAGGGGCATGTGGCCGTCACCAGGGAGCTAGTGTGAGTCTAAGAGCTGCTCCTGCCGGGTGCCAGGGAGATGCCTCTAGGTTGCTTGTGGGGTGTCCACGCCACGGGAGCCACCATCTTTGCCACTCACCACAGGGGCTCCTAGAGGCCACGTTTAATGAGAATGACACACTCACTACGGGTCAATCATCTTGGCTTCCATTCAGCCCAGCAGAATTTTATTTCTCGCTCTCACAGGGTCCACTGCAAGTGTTCCCACTTACTCAGTTCGGAGTCCAAATTCCTTCCTACATTGCAGGCTCTGCCCAGGATGGGCTCAAGGGCCTCCAAGCCCTCCCTAGACAATAAGTGTATGGGGAAAGGTAAGATGCTGACAGGAGGGAGGATTTTATTGGCCAGGCCAATCCTGAGTTCTAGTAGAACTCAGTCATATGACCGTGTCTGACTGGAAAGGAGGCTGGAAGTGTAACCTAGCTGTGTGGCCTGGAGGAAGGAAAGGCAGGTTTGGTGAGTGGCTGGTCAGTCTCTGTTGTAGTAAAACTATTTCACTTAAGGCATAAGGAAGCTGACACTCAAAGAGATTCAATACTTGCCCAAGCTCCTTTGTTAAGTGTCAGTCACAGTTCAGACC